GTGAAGATTTAGTCACATATGCGAGTGATTTACTCGCAATGTAGAGGGTTGCTAAGTTATAATCAAAAACTCACTTTCTCCAAATTTACATTTATGTAAATTTGTAAAATAAATTTATACTACCTTTCAATGGTTTGGGGTCTGTAAGATTTTTAAAAAAAAATGTATTACTCTAATTTTCAGTGTCACATGAACACTTTCAGAAATCGTTCTAATATGCCGCTTTGGTGCTCAAGAAGCATTTAACATTATTATCAATGTTCAAAACATTGGTGCTGCTTTATATTTTTGTGGAAACCATGATACATTTGTTCTAATTCTAACAAAGTTTAAAAGAACAGCATTTTTTTAATAGAAACCTTTTATAGCAATTCAAAATACATTAAAGCTGCAGTCCGTAACTTTTTCTGGTTAAAAATAATCCGAAATCAATATTTGAGCAAGTGCATAACCAGCCAGTGTTCAAAACTATCGCCTTACTTTAGCCCGATTCACAACGGTTAGCTTATAATAATGTTTTGTCATTTGAGTGGTACGGGTAGGTTTTCGCGGGAAATTCGAGCATGGCACTGCGTCATTACGTCACGTCTGTAACCATCAAGAAGTTGTCTGGGCTACTAGGCTATCACATGTGAGGATCCTGCAGGTGCAGGATCGTTTATAGCCTTTTCTCACAGCAGCCAGAATAATGAAATGTATCATTTTGATGGTGGATTGTAATCCAGAAAGGATTATGTGTTTATGAAACACATGTGAATGAAATGAAATTATATTACAGTTTTAAATGTGCTTCTGATTACAGATAGCCTGGGATTACACAAGATTTGTATTTTAAAGACAACCAGTTTGAAGGGAGCATAATTTGCTTTTTGGGTTAAAATAATTTCTTAATATGAAATTCGAGTGGTATGACAATTAGAGATTAGACTGTACAGAAATTGAAATCTACACACTATACTCATAGTCACGCAATGCTGATGTTGTTAACATTAACAATTTTAGAATAAAGTATAACAATAATAATAATTTGCACGGTTTGATGTGATATGAGCTAATTTAAATTAAATCACCATTGGCAGCGTGATTTATTGTAATGCTTTTTTCCTCAGTTGGCAGACTGCAGCTTTAATATCACTATTGTGGTCAATTTAATGCTGAATAAAAAAATGTTTTTTATCATACTGACACTAAACTTTTCAATGGAAATGTAAGTCAGCCAACATTTTAGTTCTATAGATCTGCATTAACTTTTTTAATATTTATAAATAGAACAGGACAAATAATTTACAAAGTGACAGATGATTATTATTGGTAACGCAACCTCTGATCTCAACAGCACAACCATACATTACAGTCAATACAGCAATCTATACTACATCATGGGCTGTGGCATTAAATTGATGATAGAGATGAACAGCATCACGCTTCACTTTCAGTAGAACAGGACTGCTGGATGCCCTCAGGTGCTGCCTGTGGCTGTCATATTTCAACAGCTCCATATGAACCCTAATAACCATCCATTGGGAGAACATCATAAGACCCACACAACCCTGTCCTAAGGGGCCCTCCTACACACACATCAGCTCCTTTGTTGTTCTTTGTGAATGAAGGAAGGATCAAAGCAGCGGATCTCTACGTGAAGGTGCCCCAATCTCCGTCAGAACCACTTGGTCGGTAATGGGCTTTCATCGGGGGGTGATGAGGTGAGAGCAGGATAGGACAGAGGGGGGAGAAAGGGGGATTAGGAATTAGGAACACAAGGGGGGGCGGCAATTGATCAGCTGTCATCTCTGCTTACTGTACGCTGGTGCACCTTTCACAGGAAAATGTCCGATCCAACTGGGTAAGATGCACACTGGGCACAATCATCTCCATTTCAAAGTGGAACCATTTGAATGAGACTGCATCCCACAAGAAAGGCAACAGGATACAGTTCAGCAAGAACTTTAAACAAAAGCCTGCATTTAGAAAACCCTATATGGATTAAAAAAACTACAGTGATGACTTAACTATTAATGAATTATGAATGAAAATATACATTCAAATATAATATACCCATAATGTAAACCTCATATCACATTTTTCAACCTATAATGAGATGGTAAAATCCTGGTTTGCTGCCGTTCTCTGGTGCCATTGAGTATAATTATTCCAAACATTCATCACGCATGAACAATGGCAGTTCAATGCCAATGCCCCACATACTTTGCAACATAATTGTCTCCTCCTGCTGATAACAAAACCATACTCTGGCAGTTGACATACCAGACCTTTTATTGCTCCAAAACATGCTTAGCATTCTGCATGTGACCCTTGCCTCAAACTATTTAGGTACAGACAGTCTGAGGCAATTGAAGGTTATCCTAGCAAGACAATGATTCAAACAGATTAATTTTTATGGGATAGTTCACTCAAAAATAAACCTTCTGTCATCATGGGCGCACACTTATTCTTCATCTGCACTGTCAGAAAAAAAGAAGCAAAAATAGTAACTTTAGGGCCAACAGCTTGTCCCTGAGGCAGTATCCTTAAAGGGGCAACGTTTGTACCACATCTACCTGCATATTAGTACCTTAGAGCAGTAATATGTACCCGTAAGGTACTATTATGAAACTTTATGGGTACATAAGGTCCAAAGTTCCCTCTTTAAGGGTACTGCCCTCCATCTGATGGGCACTTTACAATCCCATGAGGCCATAGGAGAGGAGTTGTGATTGGCAGTGAAGCAAAGCAACTGACGCTGGTAGGTCACATAGCAATTCCAATATTACGAATGTAGTACTTCTGGATTACATTTTATACTACACACACTCATACTATACAGAACAGAATTTCTGAACAGTTGCAAAGTAATTACTTATTGAAAAGAAGTATCTGGTATATGATTTCAGACGCAGCCAAGCTGTTGCCTTTCATTTCATTTCTTACATAAAATACAAAAGGGGAAATGTAGCAGAATGTCCATGCTGCTCTTTTCCGTTCAGATACACTGGTAATACAGTAGGTGAAAGCTACAAAAATGTATTTATTATCCTTTTATTGTGATTATTAAAAAACACCATAATGAATTCACTAAGAATGCACTGACACACAATGCTATTTAGTGGCATCCCTAAAAAGTAGGCCTAACCGAAGTGAAAATCTGTGTAGGATGTCATAAAAAATGTATTAGTTTAGCTCTAGGCTTCCATATCCTATATTTGCCACCATTATGGGACACAATATTGGTAAACGGATGAGAGACGATCAATTGTACCATGAGAAAAGGGCTCACAAAACACACTGACACAAATACGGGGAGAGAGCAGCTAACACACTAACATCTCTTTCAGCTCAACAAAGAAACTGAATGGGATATGCATAAATAATGTATCAGATGTAGGTCAGTGTGCATTACATTGCTCATATAGATGCATATATTTAATGCGCCGTACTGAGGTGGTGGCTGGTGATGGCATCACTTCCTGTGCTACTCTGAGCCTGGGAAACAGCATGGGAACTGTCCCACATTCCTCAGACTAGCTATGACTGGGAACTGCAAAAGTATACAGCAGGAATGTATTGTCATTAGTGCATGGGACCATGTCAGTGAGACTACAAGGTATTGACTCAACTGCTCTATTCAATGAAGCTGCTACGTATACCAATAGATATATGGGTGCAGTGTGTGAACGGAAAGTTTGATTAGTCCATTAATGGGCCAGACACGTCAATGTCTAAAGGCATGTCAATGTTTATATAACCATAACCAACCCACATTTTTACAGTCAGGTTCTGATGGGTCTCTCTGTTGGTTAATGGTTCTCAGATTAAATGCACTACACAATGAGGAAAAAATAATAATTCCCAAGCTGGACAATGAATCCAGGTGTCTCCTAATGATACCATAAATTACCATAAATAGTTGCTTACATGATCATGCCATCCTTCAAAACATAACTTTGTTGTCACATACAGTTTGTGCTACAGGCATGAATGAGGCCTCAAAATGTAAATGATGCAGCTTCTCTTGGTGCAGAATAACCACAGAACAGCACTGCAACCCCTACCAACCACCCAGAACACCCCAGAAATTAACCCTAAAAATGCCTTAGCAACCACCCATAACATCCAAGCAATACACTGAGAACACCCTATGATCCACACAGGTAAAACCCCAACAACTGCCCAGAACACCATAGCAATGATCCATAACACCCTAGCAATGCCCTAGCAACCACCAAGAGCACCTAAGCATCATGACGGTGAGTTTTGCCCGAGCAAGCACTACTCTGAAAAGGTTCAAATACTGTATGCTGAATCATTGTTGCATGCTATACAAAAAAAATTTTTTTAGGTCCACATAAAAAAGAAAGAAAAAAATATGTAATCTGTGCATTCCACTAATTACCATTTACCATATTAAATATTTCTTAAATTCTGAGTTTATAGCTTATTCACATTCAAGCGGGTGAATAAAGAGCACGGACACGTACACCACGCTCAACTCAAACATATCAGATGGTAACACTTGCCAATATCTGGAAACATCAGTTCAGACAGTATAATCAGCAGGACACCAGCTTGATTACAGAGCCATGAACCAAAAACATATATGAAAATGGTAAAATAGACAAAATGTTTGGGGTCAGTAAGATTTTTTTTCATTTAAATAAATGAATACTTTATTTAGCAAGAACACATTCAATTTATCAAAATTGATCGTTAGCAGCACAACTGTTCTACATTGATGGTTATAATTAAGCAGCAAATCAGGATATTAGAATGATTTTTAGAGGATAATGTAATACTGAAGATTGAAGGAATGGGTTCTGAAAATTCAGCTTTGCCATCACAGCAATAAATTGCATTATAAATTATATTAAAATAGAAAACAGTTATATTAAATTGCAATAATATTGTAAATATATTGTGTGTTTCACAATATTGCTGTATTCATTAAATAAGTGCAGCCTTGGTGAGCAGCATAAGAGACTGCTTTCAAAATCTTACTGACCCAAAACCCCTTGAACAGTAGTGTACTGGAATTCTTTAGTTAATCCTTCTTGTGTTATGTGTTTCTGTAGAGCTGATGGCCGAGGCGCGTGTCATGGATCAGATGAGCAGTGGGGACAGCTCCTCAGATTCCCACAGTTCCTCATCCTCCAGTAGCGGGGACAGCTCCAGCAGCAGTGACTCAGAGGATCGCCCCCCACATAATTTGGCCCCAGCTCCCCCCCAGAGCACCTCTGCTCTCAACACATCTCAAAGCCGTGTGGAGGAGAGCAGCGGGCATTTAATGAACACACTTAGTGAGTTTCAGGGCATCTGGGTGATTTTGGTTGGTCTATCACTCTCTTTTGTGTGTCTAATATGCTCATGTTTTGATTCATTTCAGAAAATGATCTCCAGTTGAGTGAGTCTGGGAGTGAAAGTGACGATGACTAACTGCAAAGACGTGTGGGACACCTGATGCTGAAAGAGGGTCAGGTGTTCAGGAAGTGTTTTCACTAGTTAACTTTGTGATACCTGAATCCAAATCCCTGTCAACTTCTCAGTTAGGAAATCTTTTTTTCCCCCCCAGTAATACTTGGATCAGCAAAAGCTGTGCAATTGGACACATTGCTGGGGGGGTTTCTGTATTGGTAAATTAAGAAAAAGTATTTATTTTGTTGAGAATGCTACTGCATAGATGTTAGTTTTATAGGAATGTCCTATAATTGCTTCCTCAGAGGTTATAGAAATATATCTGTTTGTGAAATAACTGTTTAGAAAGGTCACCATGGTCGTCTTATAATATATACATAATTTTTTTTTTTTTTTTAGGCTTAAAATACTCAAGCACAAGTGATTCAGCAGCATATTATAAGGAGTCTTAAGGAGCACCAGTAAATTAAGGTGCCAAGCTCAATCTCAGATATTTACACATTACGCGACCTGCAATACTTGAATTTGTCTCTCTTTTGATAATTCTGAGACATTTGCTTATAACAAACTGTGCCTTGTATATAAGGTGTATTTGACTATCCATCCCATTCTCTTGCATTTAAGTATACCCTTTTTTTATTGCATAAAAATATATACATTTAGAGGTAGAAGTCTCTGTGTTGTGTGTGTCCCAAAATCAACACTCTCACTCTTAAAGGATGTCCTTAGCCAGTTCTTCTTGAGCACTAATTGCAAAATATGATGTGCCATTCAGTGTAATGTAGCAGGGTTGACTGGTGTGGTAAATGTAGTTCTGTGGGAAGTGTTTGATCCTTAAAATTGTGTGTAGACTAATAAAGATTTCTTTTGTGATATTTGTTTGTTGATCATTTTATTGTCTTCATATAGCAGAATATCATTTTCAGCATCTGAGCTGCAAAGTTTAACTGAGCTTCATGTTATGGACAGATTAATTTGATCAAGTCTTATCGAGTAATTGTGAGATAGGAATTGTTGCTCTAATTATGGTGAGGGTTTCAACATAAATCTTTTTGAACGTTATGCAGTGGCTCATGAGACATGCATCTTTTAGATGAAGAGAGACTGTTTGGAGGCACAAACTTTAAAACATGCATTGGTTTGTTTCTGAAACAAAGATGTTGAAATAATGTTCCCTCTATGACCCTGAGCAAGTGTGCATGAACATTTTTTATTTATTTTTTTGCGTATACTGTAACGGTGTCTCTGTGCTATGCATGGTGATTTTCATAGCCTTTTCCCATGAAACACTGTCAGATGTTTATAAGAAAGCATTAATAAAACCAGGTAAAATCTTTCCACATTTCACTTGCCATGAGTTCATTTGTAACATCATGTGTTGATTTGCAAATAATTTTTTTGATAATTTAACTTCTATTGAAAGGGCTTTCTATTCTTTTAAACATTCTATTCATGTGACACTCAAGACCGGAGTAATTGTTCAACAGCTTTGGTGAGCATAAGAGACTTATTACAAAAACATGTAAAAGTCTTCACTGCTCCTCAAACGTTTGCTCGGTAGTGTACATTCGCTTGAATTTACAGTGATAACACTGGCGGCTTTCACAGAATCTCGACAGGAACAGATCCCCTCGAAAACAGGCGAGTTTACTTAAGTTCATCTGCAGGGGAAGAGTCGCTTTGCCACAGACTGCCATTGCAGGGCAGCACACTGCTGTAACAGGGCTATTGTACAGACTTGAGTTGCGGACTGCGAGAATAGACATGTTGTCCCATTCGGTGCTGAGAACTGGATTATTTTTATGCAAGCAGGACTACGGAGGAATAAAATGCCTGACATCGGTATTCCTCACTCGGACAACCAGTGCACTAATAGGTGGTGATAAACAAAAAACCATGGACGACTTGGATGGTCCTAGCTTTCTGACATCATTATACTGGCTCTTTGGGAAAGGTTATTTTCAAACGACACATCAAATGCAGGTAAAGATTCATAAAAAGTGTAAAAAAAAAAAAAACTAACACGTTTAATCTCCAAATGACTGGCTTCATTTCTGCTGGGAAAGTTATGTAGGGTTTTAAAATCTTTGTTATGTATATTTCACTGTTTTATATCTTTCACTACTTTATGTGAAGGAGTGGGATGACATTGTCAGTAATTTCCTGAAATTATGTCTGTAATAGAATAGTTATAATATGTAGCATGTTTTAAAATGAACATGAATCTTTATTTACACTAAAATGTGTAATTAATGCAGATAGAGCACAGCAAAATCTACGGCCCCCTTTGGAAGTCCAAATATGGACCACTGGTTGTTGTTAATGTGGCCAATGCAGACCTCATAGAACAGGTTCTACGGCAAGAGGGTCGCCATCCCATCCGTACTGACATGCCCCACTGGAGAGGCTACCGAAAACTCCGGAATCATGCCTATGGACCCCTCACAGAGTAAGTAACATCGGAGACCCCAGTATTATTGGCACAAGCATTCATCTGTTATTTAAATGCGTTCATTGCACACATAATGTGCAACCATAATGCTGTCAGCTGCTGCAGAAGTATACATAAAAACATCTGCAGATGTTATGAAGCCACAAATGTAGTTCATGTCTGAACATGAATAGCTAGCAGCTTGCAATTGATTGCTTAGAAAGTGAGTACAAAATGAAAACATGACTGAGGGCACACATTATTGTGTCCGTTGAACAGTTAAACCAAAACCTAATTCAAGAAAAAAAAATTATGGAATTTGTATGCTACATAAGCCCATTTTAGTGGGAATAAATAGGGAATTGTTTTTGAGATTTTTCAGTGAACAAAGAAATTGAAATCTCTGTGAAGGATGACAGCAGAGGCAGACAATAATTGCAAGTGTTAGTGGGAAAACTGGTTTTGAGGAATTCCGAACTAAAAAGAAAATATTGAGGGCTTACTCATTCAGTGTTTAGAGGTCAGCATAATCAATGTTCTGAACTTATTTTGAATATAAAATGCCCAAAATGCTTTTTTTGTTTGTTAGCAAATTATCATGCAAAGATTTTTGAGAAAGTAATTACGCTGACATAAATGACAATACTCATAATGTATTTATTGTCCCGTTTCAGAATGGGAGTGGAGTGGCAGCGCATTAGAAGCATCCTGAATCCTCGCATGCTGAAGCCCAAACACGTGTCCTCCTACACCAATGCCATTAATGGTGTGGTGAGCGACTTTATTGAGAAGGTGGCTAAGCTTAGGACAACAAAAGGCAATGAAGTAATGGTGTATGATGTGGCAGGAGAACTGTACAAGTTTGCCTTTGAAGGTATAACATATTGGGTAATTCCAAGGTCAAGATATTGAATTATGCCATAGAGTCATTCCCAAGCATTCATATTAGCTGTTTTAATGAATCAAGTGAGTACAAAGGGTCAATGCCACACATTAGATAACAAAGGCCACTTGTTATCCTATAAAGAGCATTGACCTTGACAAGTTCATAGCTTCTAGTCATGTGCAGCTGACTTTACTAGTCTACCTTTCAAATAGATCAGCATCATAAAAATACCTGGAAAACAATTATGCTCTAATATACTGTATATATTGCCTAATAATATTGCATTGTTTTGTTCCTGTGTAATTTTGATTTTAGTTGTAGTTTTTTTATCACACGTGCACACACACACACATATATATATATATATATATACAGTGGGTACGGAAAGTATTCAGACCCCCTTACATTTTTCACTCTTTGTTATATTGCAGCCATTTGCTAAAATCATTTAAGTTCATTTTTTTCCTCATTAATGTACACAGAGCACCCCTATATATATATATATATATATATATATATATATTTACATAGTATATATACTGTACATAGTTTGAATTATATTTGATAACAAGTGTGGTGTCCATCACACTTAATATAGGTTTTTGTCTTTCCTTCATAAGGAATATGCTCAGTGTTGTTTGAAACTCGTATGGGGTGTCTGAATGATGTGGTTCCTGAAGAAACACAGAAGTTTATCTTCTCTGTTGGGGAAATGTTCCGTCTTTCTCCCATCGTGATCCTGTTCCCCAAATCTCTCTGGCCCTACTTGCCTTTTTGGAAGCATTTTGTTGCTGTTTGGGATCATTTGTTCAAAGTTGGTAAGTTTATTCCTATTATTGTCATGTTTAAAAGCTAAAAACAAAAAAAATTAAATTAATAGAATTATTGTTATGAAAAAAAATGTTTTTATTGTTTTATTGTCTTGGGATAAGTACTTTAAAAAAAAAGTAAATTAATCGTTTTATTCAGCGAAGATACATTAAATTGATCAAAAGCGACCGTAAAGACATTTACAATATAATGTTACAAAAGATTTCTATTTCAAATAAATGCTGTTCTTTTGAACTTTCTGTTCAGCAGTAAAACCTGAAAAAAAATCACTTGTGGATACATTCCACAAAAATATTAAGCAGCACAGATGTTTTCATTAATAAGAAATGTTTCTTGAGCACCAAATCAGGATCATGTGACACTGAATACTGGAGTAATCGCTGTAGAAGATTCAGCTTTGTCAACACAGGAATAAATTACATTTAAAATATATTTACATAGAAAATAGTTATTCAATTTTAAATTGTAATAATATTTCACAATATAATTTTTTTACTGATTATTTTTTATCAAATAAATGCAGTCTATGACAGAATAAGAGACTTTTTCACAAACATTAAACAATCCCCCAAACATTTGAACAGTAGTCTAAGTGTCTCTATTCAAACCATACTCATCAGGGAAGAGAATGGCAATCATCTTCAAATATGCAGGTTTTTTTTTTGCAAAGCGGATGAACTGGTGCAGAAGAAGATGACAGAGATTCAGGAAATGGTGAAACATGGGCAGCCAGTGGAGGGCGAGTATCTCACACACCTCCTGATCAGTGAACAGATGTCCTTCACTGAGGTTTTAGGAAGCATTACAGAGCTTCTGCTGGCTGGAGTCGACACTGTAAGTATCTTCACTCTTTACGGATGCAATGTATTGCAACAAATACTTTGTAGTAGTTTCATTTTATAAACAATCTTGCCATTTGCAGCATTTGATTTCAAACTAAAAGAAAGAAATAAGCAATAAATAAGTGTCACTAATTGTTAGACACAAGAAGTATAGTTCACTTTCACTCAAGGTTCAAATCTTTATTGTGAGGGGCTTCAATTTATACTTTATAAGTAACAGGAAGTGAAACTGTTAACTCAGCACAAGCAGGGAAATGGAATGAGACAGTCTAGGAAAAAACAGCTACGAATATATATCATGTCTTGTGATTGCCTGGTGATGTAATGCTAATGCAATGGGGTACAGAAGGCGAAGGCCACAGGGTGTTATAGAATCTCACACTAGTATTTGTAACATATTTGAGATTCAGCATTTTTAATGCATGCTCATTTTAGACATCAAACACTATTTCCTGGGCATTGTATCACTTGGCACGAGAGCCAGAGATCCAGCAGAAGCTCTATGAGGAGGTTATCAGTGTCTGCCCTGGTGAAAAAGTGCCCTGCAGTGAAGACATCACCAGGATGCCATTGCTAAAAGCCATCATTAGAGAGACTCTTCGGTATAGTATCTTCTGTATATCTCAGTTATACTGTGTTATAAACATATTTAAAGGAATAGTTCACCCAAAAATTAAAAGTTGCTTAAAATTTACTCGAAGTAGTAGTTGAGTTTTTTATTCATCAGAACTGGTTTTGGATCCTCTGCAGTGAATGGGTGCCGTCAGAATGAGGGTCCAAACAGCTGATAAAAACATCTCAATAATCCACAAGTGATCCACACAACCCTAGTCAATCAGTGGAGAAACCAGAGAAAGCAATGTTATGGTTAAAGGACTCTATTTTGTCTATTACAAACACGCAACTGTTCACTTCACAAGACTGACCAGGGTCATAAAAATATGTGGAAAGCAATTATGCTCTAATAAATAGAGCCTTAAAGATCAAATTGTGTACTTATAGTATTGCATTATTATGTTCCTGTGTAATTTTTATTTTAGGTGTAGTTTTTATTATCGCACACACACACATACACAACACTATAATTTTTTGTTGTCTTTCCTTCATAAGGAATATGCTCAGTGTTGTTTGAAACTCGTATGGGGTGTCTGAATGATGTGGTTCCTGAAGAAACACAGAAGTTTATCTTCTCTGTTGGGGAAATGTTCCGTCTTTCTCCCATCGTGATCCTGTTCCCCAAATCTCTCTGGCCCTACATGCCTTTTTGGAAGCATTTTGTTGCTGTTTGGGATCATTTGTTCAAAGTTGGTAAGTGTATTCCTATTATTGTCATGTTTAAAAGCTAAAAACAAAAAAAAATTAAATTAATAGAATTATTGTTATGAATAAAAATGTTTTTATTGTTTTATTGTCTTGGGATAAGTACTTTAAAAAAAAAAGTAAATTAATAGTTTTATTCAGCGAAGATATATTAAACAATGCATAGCCCTGTGGACACAAAGTGCTTACTAAATTACATTGCTTGACTGTTGCTTTTTTTAAAGGCACTTTTATTTATAATAACAAAGACTCGTTTTACTGTTATAAATATGTATTAAATACTGTGAATGTACTCATTTTTGGCATTACATTGTATAAATGGTTTTGTTTTAATTGCATGTATATTAATTTGTCAGATGTGAGGGGTTTTAGATCTTTTAAAAATAATGTCCAACTTATTTTCTTTTGTGAATGCACCTTATGTTTTTATTATTTTTATTTTTTGTAACTAAATGTGTTTTTTATTTTTAGAGGAAAATAATTTTACAGTTTAACATGTCTAATTTAAGGTTATATCGTCCTTGATGGTAAGAATATGATAAGAATAATACTAATAATAATTAACCACATGTTGCAACACGAGCGCGTGCGCCAGACTGTCCCAGGTCTTAAAAACCGCAAAGCGCAGTATCCTGTAGTGCACACTAACCCCTTGTCCAAATACCCACACTTGCGGTCTTGGCCACTTGAGAGCGCGTGCGGGCGACAGGAAGTAAGTGTGCAAGTCTGTCCCATGTCTTCAAAATGCCAAAGTGCATTGCTCTTAATGGATACTAAGTCCACACTATCTCGAATACCGCAAGGCTAAGTGTATCCCATCATGCGTCATGTTCTGGAAATAAATCGTGAGACTTTTTGCCGAGATCTCGCGAGATGTCACGGAAACCTTTCCAATGTAAGTTAAATATTGATATAATAATTAGATATTACAAATAATTTGGTAGAAAAACTGTGTTTTTACTTTTATTGGAGCAAAGATGAGTAGTAGTGATATTTATTTTGTACAACATTTGCAACTGCTTTTTATCATTTAATTAGAAGCACCACAAATTAAAATTATGTCATGTTCTAGGGACTACTGAACAGACATTTAGAAGTTGATTTTAAAATGCAAAGTATGTCAAATTAAAATAAAGCTGTGTAAACGCTTGCATTTTTACAACACTATAAGTGTGTCCCATCAGATAATGAAAAGTTCGACACACACTTGTGGTCTTCACACCCACTTGAAGACTTCGGCCAAATACAGGAAATACGTCATTTAAGTAATCAAGTGGTCAAGTGCAAAGACCGCAAGTGTGGGTATTTGGACAAAGCTTTAATCCTCACTATCTCGACTACCTCCCCGGATCATGTTGTGGAAATAAATCGTGAGAGTTTTTGCCGAGATCTCGCGAGAGGTCACGGAAACCTTTCCAATGTAGGCTATGTTAAATGATTAATAATAGTTCGATATTACATATAATTTGGTAGTAAAACAAAGATTTGCACGTTTTATTGGTGCAAATGAGTAGTGGTGATAATTATTTTGTACAACATTTGCAAATGCATTTTATTACTTAATTAGAAGCACCACAAAATTAAATTGTTTCATCTGTTATAGAGACTACTGAACAGACATTTAGAAGTTGATTTTAAAATGCAAAGTATTGAAAAGAAAAATAAAGCTCTGTAAACACTTGCATTTTTACAACAGTGTGTCCCATCGGGTAATAAAAAAATTCTACACACACTTGTGGTCTTTATAAAAAAAAACTTAAAAAAAACTTGTGGTCTTCATGCTCACTTGGACCAAATACAGGAAATACGTCATATAAGTGGTCAAGTGCAAAGACCGCAAGTGCGGGTATGTGCATGAAATCCTTCTCTCATTAGTTCTGATGCCCCCGTGTGCGTGACAGTTGTAAATGCAATAAATAGAAATATTCCAGCGTTTACATATTTTAGTTTTTCTGTTCAAATTTTATCGCAACAAAAAAGCTAAGTTTGACACTTTGGGCGTTTTATTGGTGCAAATGAGTAGTGGTGATAATTATTTTGTACAACATTTGCAAATGCATTTTATTACTTAATTAGAAGCACCACAAAATTAAATTGTTTCGTGAGACTTTTTGCCGAGATCTCGCGAGATGTCACGGAAACCTTTCCAATGTAAGTTAAATATTGATATAATAATTAGATATTACAAATAATTTGGTAGAAAAACTGTGTTTTTACTTTTATTGGAGCAAAGATGAGTAGTAGTGATATTTATTTTGTACAACATTTGCAACTGCTTTTTATCATTTAATTAGAAGCACCAAAAATTAAAATTATGTCATGTTCTAGGGACTACTGAACAGACATTTAGAAGTTGATTTTAAAATGCAAAGTATTGAAAAGAAAAATAAAGCTCTGTAAACACTTGCATTTTTACAACAGTGTGTCCCATCGGGTAATAAAAAAATTCTACACACACTTGTGGTCTTTATAAAAAAAAAAAAACTTGTGGTCTTCATGCTCACTTGGACCAAATACAGGAAATACGCCATATAAGTGGTCAAGTGCAAAGACCGCAAGTGCGGGTATGTGCATGAAATCCTTCTCTCATTAGTTCTGATGCCCCCGTGTGCGTGACAGTTGTAAATGCAATAAATAGAAATATTCCAGCGTTTACATATTTTAGTTTTTCTGTTCAAATTTTATCGCAACAAAAAAGCTAAGTTTGACACTTTGGGCCAATGCTATTCGTTTTATCTGTAAAAATGAGCAAACCTTAAGGACTGATTCTATGGCTATGAAGCTGCTAAATCATAATATCACAGATTTTTGGAAAGAAGTCAGAACTTTTAATAGATGCAGAGTATCTCTTCCTTGTACCTTAGCTGGAGTTTCTGGGGCAGCGAATATTGCAGAATTATGGAGACAGCATTATTGTAGTCTTTTTAATTGCATCCAAAATGAATTGTATAATGTGGATGATATTCAAGTTAATGATCCAATAGTGATTATGTCACGTGAGGTGGATCATGCTATAAGTAAATTGCCTCAAAATAAAGCTAGTGGCCTAGATAATATTTCTGCTGAACATCTTAAATATGGAAGTAAGAGGATATCCCCTTTATTAGCTGCCTGTTTCACTGGCCTTTTGATTCATGGTGTGTTACCAGATTCAACGTTGTCTGTTCTGTTTTGCCAGTTATTAAGAACAAAGCTGGAATGGTAGGTAACTTAGATAATTATAGACCTATAGCTTTAGCTAGTACCCTGTCTAAAGTGTTGCAAAAAATCTTGCTGGATAGGTTAAATGTGTTTATTAATTCTACAGACAATCAGTTTGGATTTAAGGCTAAACATGGTACTGATCTTTGCATCTACGCATTAAAGGAAATAGTAAACAACTATAGAGATACAAACTCATCAGTCTTTATGTGCTTCATTGATGCATCTAAAGCTTTTGATCGGGTTAACCATGCAAAGTTATTTTTTAAAATGAGACAAAGAGGGGTGCCATAATACAATGTGAGAATCCTGGCTTATTGGTATGCCCACCAGATGATGCGAGTAAAATGGGGCAGTAAAGTCTCTGCCCCTTTTGGGGTTAGTAATGGCATGAGACAAGGAGGGATTTTGTCCCCAATTGTGTTTAATCTTTACATGGATGATCTATCTGAATGTTTGAATGCTTGTAAGACTGGGTGTATGATTGGGAATATTCTAGTGAATCATATTATGTATGCAGATGATCTTGTGGTGTTTAGTCCTAGCAGTGCTGGTCTTCAATATTAATTTTGTTTTTCTGATTTCTTATGAACATGATATC